TTATGATACACCATGTTATCTTCCCTCTGAGATCACCTATTACATGACGACAAACGTGCTCGACAGTAAAGTGATTTTGTTTGCTTCATACAAAAATAACGTCATTATGTTTTGCCCATGATATCGGTCGAGGAAAAGTACAGTTTGAAGGACATTTCACAACAAAACGTGAGTTTTATATCTTTAAGACGAAGAAATCTTTTTTTAGTTGACGGAGATCATGAAATATCCAGCCCTTGAACCCAGAGATTGAAGGCCTTAAGTTACTTGTTATATGTAAAGGTGCTCAATCACCACATTGTTTACATTGTTACTAAATAGAAGAGGGAAGAGAAGGTTGCTAACCCGCGTACATTACAGTGCCTCACTTTGGATAGCGGACCGTTCCCTCCGTTATATAGGCCTGCGTCATTCTCGCTCTAGTGTTAGTGCTCTAGAGTGATAAGCAGAAGGCCTCTCGCGTTTCCTCTTGAAAAAAAGATAATTCTTATGTAACCAATGGTCTTTGAAGACCGGGTTTTTTGTGCCATGAAGTTAAAGGTCCGAGGTCTGATTGCCACTAACCTGATAGCGAGATTTATCGCCTTGTATCATTATACATCATAAAATTATAATACTAGTCTGGTACTTCTAGGCTTTACAAATGGGCGAAAGTACTCATTTCAAATTCAACAAAGGATAAACTGGCAACTAAAGCCTGGCTTTCAAGTCTTCACATTCGCCAAGTCACTCCTTAAGGAATAATAGCAATGTGGCATTGGAGAAAGCAAATTCCAATAGATAAAAAGAAATCATACATCTGTAAGAACAAATAGTAAGATTCAGTTTATTAGAATAAAGAAAAGCGAATTGGCGAAACAGAGTATTGAGTCCCAGTTGTTGTTTTTTTAAACTGGACATATTAATAGTCACGCTGTGTTACGACCTCTAAATGAATGTTCTTTTTAAATTCGAAAGCAACTCGTTTCATGCACGACCGAGGACTTCATCCGGGACAAAATAAGTGAAAAAATACGGCAGTTGACTGAAGTTCCACATAAAACGACTAGGAAATAGTCCAGACGAAGTGCCCTAAGAATTTGTGATCTGATATAAGGTGACGTATTTGTAGTGGAGACGCCTTATCCCTGCCGAAAACTCAAGATGATATTGTTAATTAACCCCCCCCCCCACTAACCATTTGCAAGGAGGTTAGAGGAGGGCACTGAGAGGATGTTTTGTAACGACTTAGCCTAAGGTGGTGAGTATTGATACGTATTGGGTTTATACAGTGGCATGTTTTACATTTTCTGTTCCTGGATGGAGTACGAAAGTCAGTCTAACTCACTCACTCACTCACTCACTCACATCACTCACTCACTCACTCACTCACTCTCACTCTCTCTCACTCTCTCTCTCTCTCTCTCTCTCTCTCTCTCTCTCTCTCTTCTCTTCTCTCTTCTCTCTCTCTCTCTCTCTCTCTCTCGTGTACTTTTTTTTTTTGCAAGGGTGTATGCATACACCGCACATGTATACTCTAATATATTCTTGCAAATAACACTTCCCCGAAAAAAATATATCTGTTCATATCAAATATCGACAGTACAGATCTTAGCATCTTGAATTCTATTCCATTATAAAAAGTTACACAAGATTACCAGTGACAAAAACGTAACGGGACAAGTGACCTTTTCCCTTCTAGACAATAGACGTTTGTCACTTTCTTTTTGCGATGTTTTAATGTTTCGATCTTGGCCTTTTTATATATTTTATTTTTATTTTTGTTATTATTATTTTTTAATGATAGTAATGGCCATGTATCATTACCATTTCAAAAGTTGAAAATATATGAATAAATGAATAAAAGGCAAGTATTATATCATTCATCTCATTTGTTATCTTTAGATAGATAAGTAGGACTAGATTATATGTAGACGCGTAGATACAATGATTGATTGATATACTGACAGATTGATTAATAGGACAAATCAGAGAGAGACAGAGACAGAGAGAGACAGACAGACAGACAGAGACAGAGAGAGACAGACAGACAGACAGGCAGACAAAGCTTATCCGACCAAGGCACGTCCCTCACCGGGCTACTTGTCCTCCGACCATCACGCTTCCCACGGGAATCATCCTCGCCCGGTACCGCATGTACGGGTCGACGCTCAGGCACTCGGCTTCGATGATCACATCTGAGGGAAATAAAAGGAGTTTTAGTTAAGGTTTAAGTGTGAATCTCTGTATGTGTATATGTATTAGTACAAGCACATAGGCCTATACAGAGGCACATTCACCCACGTGTTTGCCTCTCACGTCTCCTCCTCCCCTCCCCTCCTCCCCTTTCCGTCCTCATCCTCCCTCTTTCCTCCCTCTCTCCTCCTCCTCCCCGTCTCCTCAGCCCCTCGCCCTCCCTCCTTCTCCTTTCCCTTCCTCCTCTCCTTTCCCGTCCTCTCTCACCTCAGCCCCCTCTCCCGTCCCCTCGCCTCCTCCTTCTCCTCCTCCTTTCCCGTCCTCT